AGGTGCGCCGAGGGGCGGCCTCCGCGGCTCGGCCGCAGCACCGCGGCTCTGTGCCTTCCTCGGCCGTGTGGCCGGAGCTGGTCTCCGCTCTGCGCCACCGCACCGAGCGCAGAAGCGCCACCAGGGAGGCGCAAGTGCTGCTGCTGTGGTGAGAAGCGAAATGAGGAGAAAGGAGACGGGTGCGCGGGTGACGAGTGGCGCGGACTCTGCAGGTCGCATTTTGAGGTCCCGCAAGGGGTTGCCCGGCCCGTGTGCCCACCTGGGACCTCGCCGAACGGGCCGCGTCGGCTGCGGCGCGTCGCAGGGAGCCAGGAAGCCCTCCCTTCCCCCGGGGCCACAGCGCGGGCTTCCGGCACCAACCTGGGCAGCGCAGGACGTAATCCTGAAGGGGCAGTTGCCACCTCCGCTTCCGCCCCCGCCACGGCCCAGCGTCCTCCGCCCCAGCGATTCCCACAACAGTCCCAGCCCCTCCGCCCTCCCTCCGTGGACGGGAGCAGCGCCCCGCGGGGAACGGTGTGGAAGAGGTTAGGGGCGGTTTGCAGATGCTCGATGGAGCGGGCAGCAGGATTCAGGACCTAGTAGGCAGGGACCTAAGAGGGACAGTCACCCTCCCCACCCACCAGCTGCTGCTTGACCGTGTCCAGCCCCCTTCCTAGCCTCTGGTCACGCCCTTTCCTCTTCTCGCTCTCTACGCGTGGTGGGAACGGTCTTGGGTGGCAGCAGGTGACTTCCTCCCAGATCCCAGAGCTTGGGGGGTGTCCGCCTGCAGGCCGAAGGCCGCTGGCTCAGAACCTTGGTCGTTTTAAGCCTTTCACTGACCTCAAGCCGAGGGGCAGGTTTCACACGGGAGAGGCCCCAACCGAACTCAAAGTAGAATGGGAGCGGGTCAGAGGACCCTTGTGGAAGGGCGGGTTGAGACAAGACAGAGTGCGTTAGGGCACTTGTGGGTAACCAGTGTGAGTAGATTCTGGAAAGGAACAAAGAGATGCCTTTTGAGTATGAGGGACTATTTTTTTAATGCCTGCATATTTGGTGAAAGTGGAGGTAAAGAGGGCCACATAGGCTTCGTCTTCAAGAAACAATGGGTAGGTAGTTTGTGGCTGAAGAGAAGAAACAGTGGGTTTGATACTTGGCTTTGTCACCAACCAGCTGAGTGGCTTTAGACAAACCCTAGGTCAGATGTTTTCTGTTAGGTTTTCAACCATTAGTGTGTATCCAAATCACCTGGAGGGCTAATTAAACTAGATTGCCAAGCTCCATCCCCAGATTTTCTGATTCAGGAGGTTTGGGGCCTGAGAATTTGCATTTCTGATAAGGTAGTGCTGTTGCTGTGGTCCTGGGACCATACATGGAGACCTACTGTATTAGGGTAATGGACGTCAAACTCAGGGAATCACCTAAGGTTAAAAACAAAATGCCCGGGAGGCACCCCAGTCTAATATAGATTCCTGGGGTTAGGACCCAGGTGTCAGCATTTTTAAAGTTCTGCAGGAGATTCCATTGTGCAGCCAGGTTTGAGAACAATCTTTATAGGCAGCGCTTTTTAAACTTTAAAATACATAGTATGTGAATCACCTGGGAATCTTATTAAAATAGAGATTCTGATTCAGTAAGTCTGAGACTGTTCCTAACAAGCTCCAGGTTATGTGTTTCTTTGCTGGTCCAGGGACTACACTGAGTAGCAAGGTGCTATGTCATACCTCACAACTAAGCAAAAAATTGCAGAAATCACACAAAATTGGAAACGTGACATTTTCCCAGTCACCCTTGTTGGAAGACCAACATTTTCTACATGTTATAGTGTTTCATCTTCTTTGTATGTCTGAAGTAAGGTTTGTTCTGTTCTTAACAGATGTGTGATCATAGTACACACATGACATCTTATGCTATTTTATTGTCTCAACATGACCAACGTTTTTGAGGGTGACTCTTAAAGGAGACAATCTGAGAGGGTTTGCAGGCTGACTGTAGGGTCTGTGGGGAGAGAATTAATAGGAGAAAAGTGGGGGGAAGAGGGCCAAGAAAGGGGTGGGCTTACTTGAGAGCCTCTGCGTTTCCTTCCAGCTCTCACTAACAGTCTGTGATTCCTCTCCCTGAAAAACCAAGGATCCCTGGCCTGGAAAATCTGCAACCCAGAAAATCAACCCCTGGAAAATTGAGGTGTTTCCTTGTCATTGTGTGTCATTTATCCCTAACTTGCAGAATATAAAAATTTATAAAGATCTAAGTCCCTTTTTTCCCCATACTGTGGAGTGGGGTTATTTAGAAATCTTTCTGAATTGAGTGGTCACCCTGTTCTTCACTCTTCCTTTTACTAATTTTATCAGGGTCTTTTTTTCCCCTTAAATTAAGCAGTAGAGAAGGGTATTAAGTAAAACGTATAAGGGACCCTTCCCTGTGTCCCCCATCTCACTTCTCAGAGATAATTTTTCCAACAGTTTTTATTAGTCTTTGAGAAATTTTCTGGTCTTATACAAAAGTGTGTGTATGCACAGATCTTTCATAGCAACCGATCACATGTCATAGTGAAATGAAGCTTTTTATTCCAGTTATCACCCATGCCCCAACACCGCATCACCTTTCTGCCAGGGGGACCTCTGGGTTTAGGATGCTCCAGCTCTCTGGACATGACAATACGCACTGTCTGTATAACTGGCAAAGCCTGTGCAGAAACCCAGGGCAGGGAAGAGGGGATTTGGCTGTGGCATTTGTGGTGAGCAGCTCTGATGTAGTTTCTGGTAGTCTGAGTGTGGCCTGCACCTGGTGACTCACTGCTAATGGAGAGGATGTGAAAAAGTGAGGGGATGTCACTTCCATGATTAGGTTAGGGAAAGACCGTGACTTCGATCTTGCCAGCATTCTCTTTCTTGCTTGCTTTGATAAAGCAAGCTGCCATGTTGTGAGATGTCCTATGGGGGACCCACCTGGGCGAGGAACAGAGGGAGGCCACCCGCCAACAGCCCCTGAGGCACTGAATCCAGAGTGAGCTAATAAGCAGCGTCATGAGAAACCAGAGCTGGAGGACCCAGCCAAGCAATTCCTAGATTCTTGACCCAGAAAATGTGAGATGATAAATGTTGTTCTAAGCCACACCAGCTTGGAGTGACTTCTTTTGCAGCAGTAGATAACTATCACAGAATAATATGGTAGGAGGAACAGTATCAAAAGAAGCAGGTTCAAAGTCATGTCAATAGGAAGAATATGAATCTCCTTGTACAGTCAGTGGGAAATAAAATCCTGGGATTTTGAGCTGTGTTTAATTTCAGCAGCCGAGAATGGAGATCCCTACCCTTTCTGGAGCCCTACTACTTATGGGGCCAGAGTTAGCTCAAACTCATTGCAACAACCCTTTATAGAACCGGCAGCAACTGAGCTGCAGAGAAAGCAGTAGACATTGAAGAACTTATGAGAGACTGGGAAGGATCTGGAGATGAGACCTCGGTTTTCTGCAGAGAGGCTTCTAGACCTAGGAAGGGAAGGGGCAACACTGGCAGTGACAAACCAGGTAGGGAAAAGCTTAAAGAGCAAGTGGGAAAGGTAGAAAATAGGGATCAAGGAATGTCCCTGTGGGACTCTTTTGGTTCAAAAGATAGTCATATATTAAGGTTTGGTAGATATTGCAATTACCCTCCAAAGATGCTGCAGCAATTTATTCTTCCACTGTGGAGGTTTTAAAACATGGCCAGGAATTATTTGGCACTCCTCCCATTGAGAGGTGTGATCTACATCCCCTCCCTTTGAATGTGGACATGCCTGTGACTCTTTTGGTCAACAGAGTACAGTGGAAGTGATGCTATGTGACTTTTGTGGCTAGGTCAGAAAAAGCCATGCAGCTTCTAGCTTCTTCTTTGCACACGCTTGCTCTTGAAAGCCTGAGCTGCCATGTAAGAAGTCCTAGCTATCTTAAGACTGTCATACTGAAGAGGCTCAGTTGAAGATGCACCAGTTGACAGCCCCAGATGAGCTGCTCTTTCAGCCTGTCCAGCCCACGTGCCAGGATGTGAGCAAAGAAGCCATCTCGGAGCCCCACTGTCCCTGTCCGCAGCCACTCCAGTCACCCCAGCCTTGTGGGTCATACCAGCTAATGACACCATGGAGCAAAGAAGAACCATCCCTCATGTGCCCTTTTGGAATTCCTGATCCACAGGATCCAAGATAAACTGGTTATTTTATGCCATTAAGCTTTGCATGGCTTTGCTGTGAAGCAACAATGACCGG